ACCACAGAAATTAGAGATGGAAAAGACCTTTTAGGTCAACCAGTCCATTTCCCTGTGAATGCAGAAAAGCTTCTGAATACGGTTAGGTTTCAAGGACTTTGTCCAGTCTAAAACAACTTTAGCAAAAAAAAAAAAAAAAAAAAAAAGCTTCGACTTCATTCCAGGACGGCTGTACCCAGGAGAGAGCAATGGTTTTCAGCTGAGTTTAATTAGAAGGCTCCTAAACTTTCTTCCAATGGAAACAAAGATATCTGTGATGAGAGTTGAAATTTTCTGACAAGATGCTTGCAGATTCAAACAAGCAGAGGAACAGTGTTGTCTTGGTACTTCACCTATCTGGGAGTCTGCCCAATCTCAACAGCAAAGTCAGATGCACGACCATGTGTCTCTGTTGAAGGATAGACTCTGCTGTTTGGGCTGGACAGCAGTTCAGTATCCTGCAGAATACACAGTCCCTAAACAGTAAATTCAGGGATGAGGAGTAMAGGTCTATGTGTGGCATGGCTGTAGGACAAGGGATAGCAGATCTGTTGCAGACTGCCTGGGTTGGAGCCCATGGGCCCAGGCTAGTTAAACGTGGGGCCCTGGTGACCTTTGGTGACTTCAACTTTCTTTCCATTTTCCTCCCTTGTCCCTTTGGCTGGCCAGACTGTTGGGTCTTTGGGGCCCCATGCATTGGCCCGTCACACTTCATTACATGTGTGTCAAATATCCCATTCCAGTCATAGTCTCTGAATTCTCTGTGCCAGGCTGCTTTACTAGGCATAGAAAATCTATCCAGAGGTCAAGCTGCAATTAACTACTGATACATCTTATAAATAAATGTGCTCAGGTGCTTTGTCTCCCAGCTGCTTTGGGACTAAGGCTCTCCAAAACCCACATGGGTGTGTGAACAATGTAGGAGCATCTGTACCCCAACAAAGGCAAAGAGTTATTCAGGTCTTCTAGAAGGCCACTTTCTACTTCCCATCAAAGGGAAGGAAGAGGTGAAAAGAAAATGCAGGGAAGGAAAAGGGGTATAAGCTCATAATTACATTAATGTTCAAAGAACTCTCCARTATAGGGATTTGCTTTTGAATCTAGACTTTTGGCCGTGTGAACTTTCTCCCAGTGACTCCTCAAATCCTTATACTTATTTTTTTTTGTCATTATCAGGAAGCAGAGAGAGTCGCTAAGCCCAGGGTGCGGCCAAGAAGGGCCTTTCTAATTAACCCAGGAGGGAAAGCATCCATCTAGCTTGCTCTGACCCTGCGGTCGTTGGGGATGGAACTGGATTGCCAGAGCTCGCCTAGAAACGGTGCCTTAATTCCCCTCTCCCCAAAACATCCAACCCTTGATCTACGCTGGGGACAACCATTTTAAAGAGACAGTGTCGCAACATGCCACCTCCTTCTCGTAAGTGGTCACCTGCCAGCTTCAACTGGAGGTGTAATTACCATCCTTGAGGCCTGATCCATCTTATTCCCCTTGAAGTCGATGAGGAAACCTCCCAGACTCTGCTGGAAGTGGTATTAAGATCTTCTCTTTTTTTCTGGGATTTACATCCTTGCTAGAACAGATGATCCAGCTGGCTCTGAGCTTGGGCAGCACCAGGAAAACCGGCCGGGAATACCGGGCAGAAATGTTTGGAGGGAGCCAGAGCCTTGGGGAATCAGCGCGAGGAAGAGAGAGAAGAGCAAACACAGGTCCATTAATCCGCAGTTACTCTGCCTTTTTTGTTAGGAAGATGAACTTGATGAGTTAATTAAGCCCCAGCCTGTAAAACCAGTTTATTTGCATAGCAAACTCCTGGGCCAGCGCGCTCCGAGCGGGCAGAGCAGCGCAGACAATTCCGGGGAAATTACAGCCTCATTAATATGCTAATCTGGTCGCCGGCCTGGAACGAGTTTTGGGCTGGCGGTGCCGGGGGTGGTGGGCGCAGGTTGCCTAGCAACCCTTTCCTCCAGGTAGCCCTCCTCTCGCTTGCCCTTGATATCCCCCAAGGATGCCGGGGAGGGGGCGGCGGGGCTGCTGTCACACGCCAGCGAGCAGAGTGAAAGGCGAGCGCCGGCGCGCGCCGCGCGGCTCCCACCGAGCCCGTCCTCGCCGTCCCCGAGCCGGGGCCAGCGCCTGGACGCCGCGCGCGCCGCCGTGGGCGCACACGCGTTGCACCCGCATGTATGTGGGTGCAAGCACGTCCTTGCGTGAGGGGCGCTTTCAGGCTCTGCACCCCGAATCTCCTGACCATGAGCACTCCCTGGACTCCGTGTTTACACAGGGTAGTTTTCTGTTTTGCAAGCAGCATCTCCCAAGGGYGCTGTTAGGAGGTCTGACCAGCGATTGCCCCTTGGTCTGGAACACTCTGCCCTGGACACATTGCTTCCTACTGAACACCCATGTAGAATCAAGCAGGTCCTCTCCACCTGCC